ATAATAATAATAATAATAATAATAATAATAATAATAATAATAATAATCTTCCTGCCTCTTCCAAAGCACTTTGGAAGAAAGTTATCTGTGCTGAGCAAAAGGATGCAGGTATTTATAGGTTTCGGTGGAAATGTCCTGTTACTGAAGTTTAGAACTGGGTTCACACACTGTGTGAAACCACAAGTGGGCTTAGCCCCAGAACCTGTGGAATAAATACCCTTTGGTTCAGACATGGCAGGGGACTGTAGGCTGTGCTGCCAACCACCACAACGGCATAAACAGAGAACTAAGGAAAAAATTAAGTAGATGAAATCATCCTTAATAATGTGGAAAAGAATTGTGGCTTTCAAGATACCTCTGAACCCACTGCCCCCAATTAAATTTCATTGTTCCACATGAAGTGTTCCTGCAATTGTCTTTTTTTCCTCACTGATGTTGGTTTTTATTTCCCCCATGAAAAATCTCAGATGCAGGTATGACTGTAGCCATGTACAAAATCCCAACATTTGCTTGGAGTCTCAGAAAAGGCACTGAGTTATGATTCATCACCTTGTTCTAATCTGTCTTTTTTTTTTAAAGGAGGCTCTCAAATAAACTACATTTAAGCTTGTTAAAAGAGGAAGTGATACCAAAAGGCACTCTACATTGTCTTTTTTCTCAACTCTAAAAAAATCAGAAATGCTATGGATCTTTTCAGAGGTTATATTTTCAGAAATAAATTCTGGACAGGGGGATTGAGAGAAGAATGCTCTAAAGATAGTATTCATTCTGCCTGCTCTTTTCTGTATGATCAAAACTCAATATAGGTTTCACAACAGTGCAATCAAAGCTCTGGCTGCTTTGTGTGTGCTGTGACCCACAACTTCAATTCCACCACTGTAGCTGGTGGATTGAGGTTTTTTTTTTTTTTGACGTGTGTCTCACAAAATTTGCTTCCAACTGGTTGACAAATTCAGTTGCCTCCTTGTGTCTGAGCATTTTGGTATGAATCTAATCTGATGAGGTCTTCTCCATAGCCCTCCATCCATCTTCTGCCTAATAGGTTCCTCTGCTAGCAAAAAGAAATGGTGTTGCTGACAAAAGAATAACAACCCATCAAATCCTTTTCAGAAGCAATGTCTCCTAATGAAGCAGTACTTAGTGTGGAAAATAGGAAGTACTGGAGAGGAAAATCATATGCCAGCAGACTCTCTCAAGTTTCTGGGAAAAAAAAACTGAAAACAACTGAGAGAGAAACTTAATCTAGAAAACATCCAGGAGAACAAACAAATCTAATGCCTACTTCCAAAAGTGGATCCCCTCCTTTTTTTTAAAAAAAAAAGCATTTGACTTAGCTTGATCTCCAGAAATTAAACAAAGTTGGGCCTTGTAGTACTTGGATTGAAGGCACTAAGAAATTCTAAGCAAACTATTTACTTGTTGTAGCCAAGGAAACAACATGGACAAGTTCACAAAGTCACCCAAGAGTCAAGCTGGATTCAAGAGAAGTTTGATTGGCTTTCTCTTTCCATCTAATCCAGTTTGGATTTGAGGGGGGCTGTGAAATATAGAGGGGGCAAAAGCTGTTGAGAAGATGAGAACCTGCACTTCAAGTGGGTGGTCATCAACTTTGCAAAAGAATTGTGGTCTCTATGTGAAGTTGTAAAAATAAAACTAAAATCAATCAATCAATTTATTTATCTATCTTCTATTTAACTATCTTCTATACCTATCCACCTATCCATCTATCCATCTATCCATCTATCTATCTATCTATCTATCTATCTATCTATCTATCTATCTATCTATCTATCTATCTATCTAATTGAAGACAGAAGCAATCTGGAATTAAGGAGAAACAGTGAGGACAATCAGTGGAACAGCTTGCCTTCAGAAATTGTGGGCACTCCATCAGTGGAGGCTTTTAAGAAGAGACTAGACAGTCACTTGTCTTAAACGGTATAGGGTCTCCTGCTTGAGCAGGGGGCTGGACTAGAAGACCTCCAAGGTCCCTTCCAGAATTCTATTCCTATTCCTATTCCATTCCATTCCATTCCATTCCATTCCATTCCATTCCATTCCATTCCATTCCACCATCTATGTCTGTCTGTCTGTCTCTCTACCATATCTATCGACCGTATCTGTCTGTCTGTCTGTCTACCTAGCATCTATCTATCTTTTTAGGTTGACACCATACAGTAATCCCAATCAATAAGTCACACTACGGCATAGCTGATTGTCCACAATGAAAGAAGAAGAATAAAAAGTCATTTTTTCCATGAATCTCAGTGTGGAACTAAGTTCTGATTTACTTCTTTTGGTGGCTATTGGGCTAGTTCACAGATAATTTATTTTCAGTGAAACATGTTGAATAGGCATTTAGAATTGTAAGCAGTACATAAAGCTTTTTTTTGAATGAAAATATTTGTTGTCTAAACCAGTAGTAGAAATCTGAGCTGCAAACATAAAATGTGATTTTCCATCTCTTTTGGGGGGGGGGGGGGGGTCCCTCCAACCAAAATGTCAAGTTAGCTTCCTCCCCCTACTTTCTGTTTATTTCAAAAAGAGAAGACGCAATCGCTGCAAGTGTAAGCCCTAAAGTAGGCTTAGCTAACAAAAATAAACAATTTAGTCTCACAACAAAAGTACCCAAAAGGGGCAAGTGAAGCTGAGATTTCCCAAACGTTTTTAAAATCAAAATTATATTGTAGAAAATTGTCCTTAGATAAAACTGCACCGAATAGTCACCTGTACAGATTTTATGAAGTCCACCTTAAAAATAAAAGTTTTTTTAAAAAAAACGTTTCCCTAGGATGGTGCTATTTTACTGATGTTTTCTTCTCCAACTGTTGCTTCACTCTCTGTTTTGCTTTAATCTCAGGAGTAATAGCAGCCAATTTCGAATCACAAACAGTGGATGGGATGACACACTGCTAGGGAGCTAATTAGTTTGGCTGCATTGTGACATCACAAAAGCAGGTGAGGAAGGGCAAACTGAAAATGCAGGAATGAGTGGATACATCAGCAATTAAACATTTTTGTGAAAATAGGAAAAACACAGCAATATGAATTCATTTGGCTCAGATGTGGTCTTGAAATGAATATGCTTAAGGCTTAGAAATAAACAAGATTGTCACAGAAGAGAACATTGATAGCTCAGGATTGAACTGTCAAGTCCTTGGTGGTATGTGAGCTTGCAGACGCTTCATTACTCAACCAGGTAACATCATGAGTGCTGGAAAGGAATGGGATCTTCTCTCTGTTTATGTACAAGGAATCAAGGAACCCACATTGACAGGGCAAACCATTGTATGTAAACAGAGAGCAAAACTCATTGCCTTCCAGGACTGATGATGTTACCTAGTTGAAACATCTGCAAGAAAATAATGAAACTCAGAGACTGCCAAGGGCCCCACAAACAGGAATCTGGGTTCTTTCTGTTGATTAGGTGGTCCATCTTTTGATATCATAAAAATGTTCCTAATCCCATGAAAATAAACAAATAAATAAAGTATGGAATGAGGCACACCTGAAGTATTTTTGTCTGTGGAGACCTTGGTGCTCTCAAAGTTTAACTGTGAGCACCATCCGTGCCATTTTTGTCTGTTGTAGAATTTGTCTGTTTATAGAATTGTGGAATTGTACTGCTGGAAAG